ACCATTCTATCCATAGTTCTTTGAAGTATCTCGTCGTAATACTCACCCGAGTGGGCAGAGTATGTTTATGCTAATTATGTCGCACCCGGTGGTTTTTACCGCTGCACTGACTGTCAAATCATCTGTAAATTTGATCAACACATATGTTATTATCAGCACTCTACCGTTTGCCTGTGGCACACCCCTATTTATGTGAGCATATTCCGTATCGATTCCATCACTACAACTCTTTGTTTTTGATTCGATAGAAAATTAATGATCCAGTTTATGATGTATGGATTTAGATTATATATATTATTATGGATTTATACAACTATTGAAATAGTTTTCGGGTTTTTTTGAGACACCCTGACACTTGTGGGTCCCAACAGAGTGCTTAGGCATTCAAACTCTAACAATTACATTGTTATGGGTGCATGATTTCAATAGTTTTCGTTTTTTTAGAGACACCCTGTATATGTATGAATTTCTCGCAAAGGATGTTGTGAGGCACAGTAGGCAAATTGATCCTCATCTATTATCTTTTCAACTTGACATGATAGCTCGAAGATTTTCATTATGATGTCAGTTAATGATGATATTGGTCTTAGTTGGGAACAATCCGTTATTAAAGGAGATTCGTTAGGAATTTGGGTAAGATTAATATGTTTCCACTGTAAGGGAATATATTAGAGAATTTACGTTTCACGAAGCGGCTATAGGGTGGTGACAAGCGCGGCCAACGCGTCTTGTGTGATTCCCACGCGTACTCTACAATTCTACGACGATTTTTTTTTAATTTTACGTTGTGATCACTACGCTACGAACTTCAAATGAAGATCGAATATTTTCTCATTCAAAACTTGAAATTAAGTTCATACCTTTTATTGTTTGATTATTTTAGAGAGATTATTTGTTTTAACCTTTCTTCCCGTTATTTTATCTACAGTGTCCCACCATTTTCGTGGCTCTTGTTTATATTTTCTGTTCTCCTCTTTGACGGTCTTATTGATTTAATCGAATTAACTTGTTTATTCGCTCTCGAATGTTCTCTATAATATTGTCGTGTTGAAACAAAAACATTTTATCCATCGATTTTTGTGTTCAAATCAGAACAAAGTTGGAATTAATCTGATAAAAGGCGCCACGAATTATATAAAGTAGCGAAACGGCAGTAGACAACCGCCACCGACTGTAATATCGCGTATTCCCAATGCCAGTCCCTAGAAGAAACGATGTTTCAATTTCTCTCAGATTCTTGTATCACCCCTTCTTTCAACCTGCAGATTTTATCCCAATATCATAAAAATTTAAACATTTCTGATAATTTTGCTTAGTCGGCCCCTTTGGTATACGTCAACGTGCTACGGCATCAGTCTCAGCCAATTTAGGGTGTGTCTTCATCTAGCTGCCTGCTAACAGCCAAAAGCTTTACATTGGGCCCCGTCCACACGATGCTGGTGTTCCGAAAAAGGATATCGATGATAGAAAAAGAAGTGAAGGCGGTGGAGAGCGAAGAAGATTCCGCGATAGAGGCAATGATCGTTCATATTTTAGTGGTGGTGCAGTCAATGTTACAGGTAGTGGGTTGGTGATTTCAAGTTGTCGTCATACGCCGGGCATTTTGTGGTGGAAACCATGGTGGTCGTGCAAACGGTTTCAGAATTTGACTACCGAAGCGCGGTGGAATGTTGCAAGAGGAGCCTGGGTAGTGATCATGTAGGAAAGTTGTGCTCGAGATCTTTCTAAGATTAATTGTAATGTTGATGGTTGTGAGTGAAACCACCACCAGGGCCCACAGAATACGTGTTGCCTTAGCAGCACACGCATTTTCATAACTGTAGCTCATGTTAGAGCCACAAATGGCGCCCCCTTTTTGAGTTTTTCCAGTAAATCATGTAAGTAAGTAAGTTTTATTTGAATATAGTAAAAACTTCAGTACTGAAAATTAATTACAAGTTATAAACTAATTAGAACTGGTTTACAAGTTTGCCGTATTAGAGTAATCTATTTATTATTATTATAATGTGCATTCAATGCTTTCTTAAATAATGGTAATGAACGAAGATTTCGTATATTTTCAGGCAAACTCAGTGCCCCACTGTAGCAAGAACTTCGTTTCAAATAGTTGGTACGAGGTTTGGGTAAATTTAATTTTATTTCGGAATTTCTAAAATCACACCCTATGTCACGTATAGAAAAAAGATTTTCTAAGAATTTGAGTAGCCTTAAGATTTTTACGTCGTAATGAGAGGTGATCGAAGCATAAACTTTCTAAAAGTGTATCAGGACTTGTATCATATTATATGACTCGACCTCGTGATCACTCCAGCTGCTCGGTTCCGGAATTTCTGTATTTTATTAACAAGGAAGTCGAATTTGAAAGTCAATCATTAACCTCACATTTTTTAGTCTTATTAGTCAGATAGGATTCAATCATTCAAACCATCTTATGCTAAGTTAATCCACACCATAATTTTTTAATTTTCGCAAAATAATCTGATGGTCAAACGCTTTCTTTAAATCGATAAAGACAACTCCATTAATTAAACCATTTTATCATTCACTTTATAGTATTCTCAATTTTGATTGGTTAATTTACCTGCAGTTAACTGCGTGCAAATAATACTCAGCTGCAAATAATACTCTGAGCATGCGCATTAATGTCAATTTTATAAACAATGGCGACTCGCTTTGCCGAACTGTCCGATAAAACGAACTCAAAATTGAAAATTGAGTGGTGAATGAATTGAAAATTAAGTGGTGAATGATAAAACAATTATTGAACTCGGTTCTCGCAAAATATCGTGATTTGTCGGTGGCTCGCAGATCAATTATTTGCCTCTGCCTTCGGCATCGGCAAATAATTGATCTGCTCGCCACCGACAAATCACGATATTTTGCTCGACCTCGTCCAATAATTGATAAATATCTATATTAACAAATCAATTATTTGTAGCCTCCCATAACGCAGTCATTGTATAATGTAATGAAATCCGAATTGACATGAGGTCAGTAAATTAATGGAATTAATTGCGGGAACCACCGAGTATTTTCATAAAATACACAACAATAGTAACTCCGAATAAAGTAAGCATTTTCATTCAACGTTTCGATTTTATTATGTCATCATTAGACATCAGTCATCATTTTCATTCAACGTTTCGACTAAATAAAGAAAACTTCATGGATCTAACTTCTATATTGTTTTTCTTTCTGTATGAACGTAATGAACTTTACGTACCATAAAAAAATCAGTGAGTGGTTGCAAATTGAAAGATTGATTACACCAGACTCGACATTTGTTGATTTTGTGTTTGTTAAACAGAGATCTATCAAAGTGCTAGATTTCTGATTGATGCGATACCATAAATGTCGAATAGTTCGGTTAATATATTCTTGTGCGAAGAATTAGTATTTGGTAAGTCATCGGTAATACACGAGGAGGCAGAATCCGAGAAACCAGAAACCGAGGCAGAATCACAAGCGTCCATTCGATTTTGTAAGATCTTCATGCCATGCCCGATTCGCTTTATTTGAGGCGTAAAATCTCGGCAAGAGCAGCCACAGCAACTCGGCGATTTTGAAAGAAGTATTGCATACAAGAACAGGGTTTTTATGTTTTAACCCTCCCATTGGTGAAAGTGGTAAAAAAGGTATTGTGTGTTGGAGTGGAAAGTCTGATCAACTCGAGACCCTCTGTAGTGTATGACCCAGCATGCATAAGCGGGTCAAACAAGGACCGACACGTGTTGACATTTAGCCTTAGAAAGAGTATCGTAATGGCCGAAGTTTAGTTGTATCATTGACAAAAATTAAATCGAAAACTCTACACTCTCGACCTACCAAACGGATAACCCACACGACGATGCCCTATTGACGCCCACCCATTTTCAACAGGCAGGTTGGGGGACGGTTCGCTCCAGAAACCGTTGACGTTTAATCACGGAAGACGGACATCAGGAGGACGGTAACCGGAAGTGAAACACAACAACGGAGCATGTGTGTTATGTGTTATTGTTGATTATATTTGTTACAAATATAAATCAGGGCGCTATAAATATATAAAGAATAATACATGGATGCCGGGAAATATTAAATTTATTTCGAGTGTTGAGGATGAAACTGTTTTTTTGAAAAATTTTTTATCCGCCTTCCTGATTCCAGATCGGTGGATCAAGCACGATAATCGCACATGTGTTATTATCATGAATAATCGAACATGTGCATTATTATTATTATTATTATTATTATTTAAAAATATTTGAAAACGGTAGTCCTTCAGAGCACGTAGGCTCCTGCTTTTCAAAGCGCCGTTTGTGAATTACTTAAGTACAATTATAATACAAATATTAAATTATTTAACAACTATATCACACAACTATTTTACTACAGTTAGCCTACATACTATTTACAAATTCTAATTACTTAGAAACTTCAGCTGCGGTCAAGAATGAATTTGAATTTTTTAAGGCTCTTTTCTTGCTTAGTTTCATTCGGTAAGCTGTTCCATAAGGATGCAGCTGAGTAACTAATATTATTTTTCACTGAAATTTGTTATTGGTTGGCATGTTATTATCGCTTGTCAAAATGGCGGATTCGTCAATAAAACACCGCATATTATATAATAAATCTTTGTAATGTATATGTTAGACTTACGTATACGTGCCCAAAACAAAATTTTCCGCTCGATTTTTTTTTCAATTGTGAGAATTCGACCGTAGCGGATTATCTTCATCGGTAACAATTGAAAAGAAAATCGAGCGAAAAAATTCGTTCGATCGAAAAATTTCGCCTAGTGGAATTTGGAAAACCGCTATTAAACGGACTAGAGAGTTTTTACGTCATATGTCCACAAGCACAAACTGTCTTTTCCGGCCCTTCGGATGCTAATTGGCAAATCCTGTGCGTATGTGTGATCTTCTGACGTTCGTCGAACATTTCTGCCAATATTGTCATTCAAGATATTGTCTTCATGTTCATGATATGAATTTTTCCGTAAAGTAATTCCGTCATCAAAACGTTGCGACACGGCTGTTGTATTAATCCAGAGGTTGGCAAACAGTGGGCAAGGTCCAGAACAACAGTAATTCTAAATTTTATACTTTTTTCTATGTAATTTATAGTTAAAATTGGAGATCATTAATGATGTATGCATGGGTAAAATTGAAAATTAGTATGCATGCCACAAATTTGTCCATGAGCTGCTATCAAGGAGAAGTATTATAATGATTTGTATTCTCGAAAAGTTTTATATACATAGCCATAGGATATGGCCACACGCCAACTGGCCACGAAAGAAAAGTAAATTAAATCGATTTAAACATTTGCACCTATATGTCTATGCATGCATGCATGAGCTGCTATCAAGGAGCAGTATTATAATATTTGTATTCTCGAAAAGTTTTATGACATGGGATATGGCCACACGCTGGCCACAACTGGCCACTACAGAAACATGAATTAAATCGGTTTAAACATTGGCACCTATATGTCTATGCATGAGCAGCTATCAAGGAGCAGTATTATAATATTTGTGTTCTCGAAAAGTATATATATATATATATATATATATATATATATATATATATATATATATGATTTTGTAGTAGGATATGATACCGAGTGGCAGCCCGCTATGGCAAGCAGAAAATTCTACCTGACCACGGCAGGATTTGAACCTGCGGCCTTCGGTATACTAGTCCGATGCTCTGCCAACTGAGCTACATGGCCATGCAACACGGGTTTTCTTGATATTTCGAAACAATACTAGTTTTTTCGATATCAAGAGCTTATCAGCTCAATAGGTGGATTAATTATTTGCATGAGGATGGTACTCGGGAAAGGGAATGATTTTGTAGAGGGATATGACACCGAGTGGCAGCCCGCCAAAGATTGATTTTATGTTCTCGTGTCAAAAACAGTATGTCATATTGTTTTTTTGGCACTCGAACATAAAATCCATATCTACTCGCCACCGTGTAATATCCTATGTATATAATATATATTATATATAATAATATATATTATATATATATTATATATATATATATATATATATATATATATATATATATATATATATATATATTATTTGCATGAGGATGGTACTCGGGAAAGGGACTGAACCACAATAACCAATCAGATTTAGTATTTGAGTGTAACTATCCAATCAAATTACAGGGGAAAATGGAACACAAGTTTATTATTTTGAATTTTTAAATGCCCCGCAAAATTTCTTTACGGTTCAGCCGGCAATAAATCGTTTTGAATTTGTTTAATCTTTTGTATGATTTCAAAATGAATATAATAAAGTGGAAATTGCACTTTGTGTCGTGCAATTTTAGGGTGAAATCAAACTTTTGATTCCGATTTTGTGATCACGCGTTTGATTTCACACCAAATTGCACTCCACTCAGTGCAATTACCATTATTTAAAATCACATATAACATTTATAGTCATATAATTAAATTGCAGTCATTTATTAATTAATTAATTATTAAACATAGCTACAGCGCAGAGATATTATATGTATACCATCATTTTTTTCCACTGCCTCTCAACGTTATCCTCCAACGGTGATTCTTGTGTAGAAAAAGCTTTCCGAGCGCGAGTCAGTTTTAAAATATATATATTTTTGCATATAACAGGCAAAGACGGATATCCATTCGGAAATCAAAAGTGCCGGATATTCGATATTCAAATATTAGTTTATACAATGTCAATGGACATATCACTTACCGCCCAGTTAGTGGGCATTCTCATTGCATTATTTATATATCTTAAGACTCTTAGCCACGAATCATCAACGTCTTGTGTTTCCTCCTCCAAGCAAGGTCGGTGGCATCATGCAGTTTTTTGAAAGAATCTCTGCCGTATCCCTTCTGTTTTCATTCCTGGCTGTCGCCGCAACCAATGGCGATGACAATGGCAACCAAACCACACAAGCACAAGCTGAATTATTTCTCAAAAATGCCTACAAGATATTGACGGAATATTCCTACAAAAGCAGTCTGGCGGCTTGGGCAAGGGCTACTAACATCACAGACTACAACTCACAGGTTGAAATCAAAGCTTATCTCGCCTACACCGAAGTTTACGCAGAAGTCCAGAAGAATGCTTCCAAGTTTGACTTGAACAAACTGGACTACGACACGTCACGACAGATTAGAATGCTGAGTAACTCCACGAACCTAAAAAATCAGACGGAATTTGAAGAATCGGAGAAGCTTGGTTCGCGATTGAGCAAATTATACAGCACGGCTAAAGTTGGCAATAACTCACTAAGTCCCCAGTTAGTTAACATCATGGCAAAATCGCGCGATTATGATGAACTTCTTCAAGCTTGGTGGGGTTGGCGTAACGAATCCGGACGGAAAATGAGAGATGTTTATAGACGTTTCGTTGAATTAAAAAACAAAGGTGCAAGGGAAAATGGCTATACAGATCGCGGACAGGCATGGAGAGGACGCTATGAGGTTGACGATCTTGGCAATATTGTAGAAAAATTGTGGAATGACCTACGGCCGTTGTATCTCGAAATGCATGCATATGTACGGTACAAGTTAACAAAAACCTATCGTGGAAAAGTTTTAGAGAACGACTACATTCCAGCCCATTTGCTAGGCAACATGTGGGCACAGAGCTGGGTTAACATATATGATCTTGTAGAGCCTTATAAAAACAAGCCTAGCCTGGATGTCACGTCGAATTTGAAAAAGGACTCACGGTATAATACACCAGAGAAATTGACTAAATTAGCAGAATCATTTTTTGAGTCAATCGGTCTCAAAAAACTGCCAGCAAATTTCTACAAAAATTCGTTGTTACAAAAACCTAAGGATCGCGATGTTGTTTGCCATGCTTCTGCCTGGGATTTCCTGCTGTATCAGGACGTCAGGTAAGATACGGATTTTTTATTTGATACTCAGTTTGTTCACCTTTATTCAAAAGATGCGTTTATACAGAGAATTTCCGCCACGATTCAGGCATTAGATATTATTTACAAAGCAATGCTATACACGGATGTGGTCATTCACCCCGCATGGTTTTGTCAGAAAAAAATTCTGTATCTGTCCTCCGCTCGAAGACTATGATTTGTTACTGTAGCGCGTGTTTATCGAAAAAACTAGAAAAACTGTGAAGTTAATGCTTGATTCCCACGGGCGCTTTTTCTCGTCGGAATGCGAAATATTTAGCCTGTTTCTTTTAATTTATGAGCATTCCAATAAATTAATTCTGCTTCAGCTTGATTGCCCACAATTCAAAAGAACCAGGCGGTCCAGGCGAAATATTTCGCGTTTCACTTGAAAATTTCCTCCGTAGGATCAGGGTTTTGATCAGGGCTTTGAACAGGGCTTTGGGACTGTTCACAAGAGCCACTTTACCGCAATTTAACGAGCGTGAAATTGATTTTTAAGGTATTAAAAAAAGTTTTTGAAACAACCAATCACATGCTATATTGTCAAGACGATTGCAACGTAATGCACGACTACCAGGGCAATGTTATTTACACATTTCCATCCCTCAAAGCCATTTTAGGCATCGTTAAATCTTAGTAGTCTACATCGAACTGAATTACACTTAGTTAGCCTGAACCGTATTATATCTTATTTAAAACTTGTATAACATGTTAACAGTAACTTCGTTTATTGTGTTCGAATTAACTTATGGTTAATTGCATGGTTCCCCCAGTCTAGCTATTTAGCTATACGATCAGGGTGTAATAAATACATAGATGCATGCGAAATATCGTTTTGTCATCAAATGTATGACAGGTTCTTATCATCAGAGCTTAGAAGCTCTGCATGACGTGTAGCCCAAACTATGACAGCTAATATACTGATAGTATATAGAAAGGATGGAGGGTCTCAAAACTGCGATTGATATACGAACGCTAACCCACAACCCACGAGTAAAGCTAACTCAGCAAGCGTCGCTCAACTGAGCGGTAAGATTTTCCATTGTGCGATTTGTTTGCGTGAGGATTTGATGACGGGAGGTCTTGCGTAAAAATGTAGGACTCAAGTTTGTGGATATATGAGACGCATTATTCAACTAGCCAATAACAACGCGTTACGCGTAGCCTGTACCGCGTGGTCTCGTCATATCGCTTTAAAATAAATAAAAAATACAATCATATTGAATGAAAATTGACTATTGGTTTCTATGTATTCATTAAGTTAATGCGGTAGGCTTAACTCCAGTCAATATTGTAATCTTTTAGCCATTATTCGTTTCAAAATTGCGCACAGCTGCTTGCTTGCTTTCATTAAGCAGATATAAAAGACAAACGGGTCAAACGTTTAAGAGCCTCTATGTATTGTACTGCATGCAGCTGATGGATTATTTTGACAAAACACTGAAATGTCGTATTATGATCATTTGAATAGACAACACTTGAAATTTAAAAGATCGGTGCGGCAACGTGTACATACATGTGCCGTGCGATGTTTGTCATGTGCTCATCGGATGAGACATGACAGGATATCGCGGGCGAGGCCCGCGTTTCTAATTTCAGCAGCAGCGGTTATCTTTAAAAATCTAGCGCATTTGTATTCGAAGCCTCTGCGGAGGAGAGAGACAGGATATTCAGCTCCGGGTTCGTGGCTCCAGATTCGCTAAAACGGAGCTGGCTCCGGATTCGGACGAACCCGGAGCTGGAGTGGCTAGTTTTCATTACACACCGATGTACCGCTTCGCTTTTAATGGAAATCGAAAAATTTAAAAAGGCCATTTTTCTTTGTTATATTGTTAAGAACATGGCCGTAAATGAGATTTTACTTTATCTAGTTTGCTCGCAATAGCTCCGTAAAGTTGGCTATTTTTGCGCAAAGTTGACTGGTCAGCAGCCTGGGCGACCGCAAGGCTTTATAAAAGTTCGATTTACGCAAGTTTTTGTAAAAACTAAAAGATGGCCATTCGAAAGAAACCTTATGAGAATATCCTTATAACTTGCGAAACCACGACAGGCAACTTTTGCATGTAAACATAGAAAATCCAGAAGACATGTAAAGTCCAGCCGCCTGATTTCATGCACGCACCCGCGTGGCATAAATTTAAACGTCGAACATTTCATGTGCGGAATTGAATCAGTGCAAATGGGCTGAAACAAAGACTTTAGTTCATTAACATTAGGTTCGGCACATGAAAAGCTCGACGTCTAAAACAGGCCTTATTACTTTTTAATAAGTATTTTTGTATTTAAAACGTTGTTAACTTTAATCATGTATTAAGCCAGCTGTATGGAAAAGTAGTTAGCGTTAATCGTTGTTAAAACGCAGTTATTAAACTTAATCATCCTAAAAGGCATCGTAAACTTTCTGAAACATAGCTAGGTTTAGGTTCTTCTTCGCATTTTGGCGACGTTTTTAATTCACGAACGCCGACCGGAAATAAATTAAGACGGTCTTTCTTGTTTGAACGCGAACGAGAAGTCCTGTCCACAGCGGGACGCGCGCTAAACGGATATGTTATGAAAAGGAGAGTTATGTTAAACCACGCCCAAACCACACCCAGATGTTTCTTGAACCAACGTGAGGGAGTTCTGTTTGATGTAACTCTCTTTCTGTAACATTATGACGATGTTGGAGATTAAAAATCTTTTTTCATTAGAAGTTAGGTCAATTTTGGGAAAATCACGAAATCTAAGTGTATCTGCAACTCAATTAACGATCTTCTTTCCCAAAGCTGACATAACTCTCTGCATAACAAACAAGCCGTGAATTACTCCAGAACCTAGCTTAAATCTAGTAATCCAAGAAAATGGTGGGGCTCCATTAAAAATTATCGGGTAAGAAGAAACCGTCAACCAATGCCATCAATACGGTGTGACTCTTTCTGGCAAAGATCTAGCCCAGTTGTTGAATGACCGGCATTTTGTTAGTGTCATGATCTGACCTTCCACAGCTTGACCTTTCCTTATTGCCAATTTGCCACTTACCATGCACGTGATGAGGTTTGTGAGAACTTGCTAGGGGTCAACGTCTATATACACACGGTCCTGACGTTATCCCTAACTGTATTCTCAAGGAGTTTGTATATGAGCCGGCAGATCCTGTTTCCACCATTTTTAATACATCTTTAATACATCTGCCTAATCTAAAACTGTTTTATATTGCAGCAAAAAACTTTGTGTTGTTTAATTTTCACAAGCACGATGGCGTTGTGTTGTTTAGTTCACATACAAACATGATTGTCTTTTGCATAAGTAAACACATTGATTCAAATGCGTGAGTGAGCAAATCTTTGCAACAATTCTAAAATCTTAATTTTTTGAAGTTGCATCGTGAGCCTAGACATGTTTATATTTTTGTAGAATCAAGCAATGCGTGGAAATAACGCACAACCACCTGGTCACTTTGCATCATGAACTTGGACACATACAGTACTATTTGCAATACGGGAACCTGCCTTATGTTTATCGGACAGGTGCTAATCCGGGATTTCACGAAGCTGTGGGGGACCTGATGTCACTCTCTGTTGATACACCTGGCCACTTAGAAACACTCGGTTTGTTAAAAGACTACAAAAGTGATAACGGTAAGAAAAAATTGCATTTCAGTGTAATCATGGTCATTCTATGGAGAATTGTAGTGGATTTTGTGGGTGGAATCATACATTAACACCATTTGTTCGTATTGTATTGTTCGCAAACATCGGTAGTTGGACTTCGTTTTCTCTTTCTCTGATGATTTCAGTGTCTGTGAGTTACCGCAAGAAGATTGTGCTATTCTTGATTGTGCTTAGGCTTATTTACTGCATTTCCTTGTAAAAGGCGTTTCAGTGACGAAAATACAATACATAAAATTTACCATTTTAGTGAAAAAGTTCAGTCCAAAAAAACACTGCAGCAATAACGTCTAATCGATATCGTGCGGTGTAGTTTGTTATAGAAGACCCTTAATTTGAATACCTGTGTAAATCAACATTTTTTTGCATCGTTTCACATTGTTTTCTCCGCCAGAGTTACTAACATCGCTGGTCATTTGCAAAAGTTCCGATATATTTTATTCATTCGAAGCGTTATATAAGAAAACTGTACCCAGATATAGTAGCCTGCGAGTCGCGTATCCGGCTGCAGCATGGTTTGGTGATGGCGAGTTCTACGAGTGTTTTAGTTTTCAGAATAGCACAGTCCATTATGACAGTCCATATATATAAATATCAATTGCTTTGTATAGGTGCACCAACTATATTATTTATTACTGCCTATACTCGACATACTGCATTTTTCACTTTTAATATATCTCTAGAGGCGGACATTAATGCCCTAATGAAAATGGCAATGAGAAAAGTGGCATTCCTTCCGTTCGGCTACCTTATTGATCAATGGCGGTGGAATGTATTCAATGGTAAAATCAGTGAAAAAGAATACAATGCAAAATGGTGGGAATTGAGACGTAAATATCAAGGCATTAAACCACCTGTTCCAAGAAGTGAAGACGACTTTGATCCGGGTGCCAAATACCATATTCCTAGCGATACGCCATATATCAGGTTTGTAATTATCGTAAAGCCGGTTTTCCACTAGCGATATTTTTCGCGCGAATCGACATTTTACTTTTGTTCCAGAGCTCTCAACTGCAACCATCTGGAACAAATTGCTCAAATACAAAGGAATAAAGTCGCTTCGCGCGAAAAATATCGCTAGTGGAAAACCGGCTTAAGATCGTAGCCAGTAGCGTAGCCAGACTGACGATTTTTCCCGCTATGCTAATATTTTGGTGTTCACTGACTGTGAAAACAATAGATTTCTAAAGGCATGAATAATTATAATAACTCGAAATTTACATAGCGGGACAAAATCGTCAGGCTGGCTACGCCACTGATCGTAGCTATGTATCGTGGGTATCAAGTTTATCAACAAAATTAGGTGCATTATATATAACATAATCTACACCGCATAACCAAGTGCACATACTGAACCATAAGGCCTAAATCCTCTAAAGCCGGCCTCGTATTCACATACGCAATACCAGTCACCAGATCATACCGGAACTGCCTGCATGAAGTTGCTTAGTTGCCATATGTTAGCGAGTCGGAGAAGTTCAACACTGTTCAGCTCAACCTGCATGCAGAGAATGTATGGAAATTTTCCGCACAATTCGGCAGATAAACATTCTTACCACCATGCACCAAACCCTTGGGATATTTGGATATGACGCTTTTAGATTGAGAGAGGTTCCGTTTAATTTTATAAAATAATCCCCAAGATTCTAGCTCTGTTTAACCTGACATAATCTTCAAGTGACAACGGATCTCTCCCAAGTATTGCGAAATTAATAACAATTTATGACACTAAATATGCATCTCAACTATACATTGTTTACGTAAAAATACAACTGCAACATATAAGTAAGCTTCTCCTCCACTTCTTCAACTTCAGATACTCCATCGACACTCCTTCATTCGCGTATCTGGCGTCATTCGCGTTAAGTCAAACCGAAATTAATATTTTTTACTGCTTTTTAATTTTACTAAAGGTGACACTTTACAGAGTTTAACAAAGTAAGTCAAGTAAGAGTAAACGTTCAACAACAATAACCTTTATAAATTTTAGATATTTCATCAGTTACGTCCTACAGTTCCAATTTCACAAAGCTGCCTGTAAAGCTGCAGGTTTCAAAGGTCATCTGTTCAAGTGCTCAATACATGAATCTAAAGCTGCTGGTAAGAAGATTGGGTAAGTAAATTTTTGCGAGGTCGTCATTTTTCGAAAACTATTGTTTGCAGGGCCGTCGCTACAACCCTAGAAACAATTAATTGCTAACAAAAGAAATCAGTCGGACATAAAACGAATATATGAATATGCACCCCCCCCCCCCGCCGATTAAGTTTCTAGCGACGGCCTTGATTGTTCGAAAACTATAAACTACTCCACACCCATTTCGGGGTATGTTTCTTTGTTTGAAAGAGTTTCTAATTCGTGGGTGCATATTCATATGTTTGTCTTATGCCCAACAGATTTCTTTTTAAAAAGCGATTGTTCCTGTACGGTATGTACAAGTATGTGTGAAAATGAAGATATGCCTCTCCAGATGATGTTGTGTTGTCAGCAAATGACAACGATCCTGAATTTGTGGCGTACATATTAGAATAGTTTCACAAACTGCATGAATAAATATATACAAGAAAAACGTCCTCATGCATGTCAGTGGATCTGAAGGCGTATGCTGACTCTTCTGTACGCAAACAATAGAGAATAGTGTATTTCTGTCAATAAGTAATGGAACCCCCCCCCCCCATTTAGTTATTCTGTTGTGTCTTTAAAAAGAAATTTGCTTTCGCCGCCCCTGCATGGTGTGTAAGTTACTAATATTTTCTAATCCATACGGCTGAGGAAATTTCTGAGGCTTTATTTTGTTTTTAGTGCTATGCTTGAGCTGGGTAAGAGTAAACCATGGCCAATTGCTTTAGAGAAGATGACTGGAAGTAAAAATATGTCCGTGGCGCCAATCAAGGAATATTTTGAACCACTGCGAAAGTGGCTGGTGAAAGAAAGATGCGACAAGAAATACAAGGTTGGCTGGCCTGGGCAATCAGCTGATGGCGTCCAAGATTGCGAAACAACAAGCGCGGGGGTAAAGAATGTTAACGGAAAATACTCATCTGCCATTTTGCTTTTCGTGGCCTCGTTACTTCAATTCGTTGTTTCCATGTAACTCGTATATTCATATAGACAACAGTCTCAATTAAAACATGCAAAATTAATTTTACCAAACTAGATTCTAAGCAAAGAGTGGAAAGATGTGATTTTTAGAGAATTCTAATAGTATCGATAATACTGTATTCCAAAAAAATTGAATTATATGACATCTATAAGGAGTGATCTTTTCATATTACATTCCATGGGGTTTCAAAAAGGTATGTACTGACTACTGAGGTAAATTAGCGAGAACATGCACTTATAACGTATCCGCCAAATTGGAACTAAAAATCATCGAAAAGTTTTTTTCAAAGAATTTACCTACCAAGTCCATTACAGACAGGGGTGGATCCAACGCTAGTGCACTAAGGGGCTGATTCCATGGCGTCTTTTCAGCCCGGGCTGAGTTTCTGCCCGGCAAACCGGGGCCAAAGTATTTTTCGATTACATGGCAAGTTTCAGTCCGGGCTGTGTTATGACACGTCAGAATTATTTTAAGACCAAGGCTGAATGGCTCATGTTTCAAATGCCCTGGTTGAGTTTGTAAAGGCTGCATGGTAGTAGACCTATTTCGATTCTTCGAGCGCTTTAATTCCCGAACGACAATAACTTGACCTTTAAGGGACTATGACTGCACATAAAAATGAAATAAACAAACGAAAAAGAATTGTCAAGGCGAATTTTTCTAGTACACAAAATGACGTAAATTAACTCATAATTTACAATCAACCCGCCCAAATGATCGTCAGAATCCAGACGTGAACTTAGGTGGTCTTATACGCAATTTTTTCTTGAATATTTAGAAACATAAAACTATTTTATGCCACATCGCAAGCCAAGTTACTCCGTGTGAAAAAGGAGCCTTCAATCACCATCGTTACCAAGATCAGATACACCCAATGGTGATAAATGGCTGACTTTTCAAAAAATAATAACTTACGAAATATTCATGAAAACAACTTTTAAAAAGATGGCAAGTGGAGGTCTATAGAGTAAAATATCTAAAATATTCTCATATAATCTCATATACTAAGACATCTCTTTGTAATTGGCATAGGAAATCGTTATATCACAGAGTAAATGATAAATACAGAGCTGGAACTAGGTGGCGTATAGTAATTAAATATGGCATATTTTCGATTAATTGAAGCTTTTGTTTCTACACTTTACAATATCATCATTTAGTATAATTACAAAGGTGATTATTGAAAATTCTGGTCGCCTCCGGTTGGTCGAGCGACCTCGGATTATTTAGGCAACTATATACTAACAACCAGAGAGGTGCTGAAATCACCTAACGCTCGCCTGCACTGTTTGTCTAGAATAAGGCTAAACTCTGTATGAAAGGTATCTGTATGAAGCACAAATTACCGATCTTTTTATTACAAATTACAAGGCTAAAATCCGCGTTGGAAGGTAATATTAAGCACAAACTTCAGATATTAGTTGTGACCTCAGAATTACTGGCCAAAACTGGCCTCGGAATTACATTAGTTTTATTTGTGACCAATATTTCTTCCGTTTCTCGCAATCCGCGCACGTGATATCAACAGGTAAGTTAACGGACCAGGCAAAAGTCCCTGCTTTAAGCCGGGCGCACACACAACGATTTTACGGTAGTTGGTCCATTCAGGTTTAGACATATAGGCAGCGCTTGCCCAGACATGTTTTCCTTCTCGCGGCGCTCGCGCCTCGCGCGTGTACGCGAGTCTACTTTGTCTAATCTGACCATAGGTAGCCCAACACTCGTGGTCCGCGCGCGTACACGCTACTCAGTGATTAGCATATATTAATTTATCCTAAGGTTGGCAACTTTATCACCAATTATCAATAATATATCACATACATACATGTCAAACTTCGATAAAAACTGAAAAACTACCACAAAATACTGCAAAATTAATAAATATAAATGAACTTGGATATATTTTCTAAGTTTCGACATAGTTTTTAGCTTCAAAATGTATTGGGAAATATATAAATATATAAATATATAAATATATATATTTTATAAATATATATATAAATATATAAATATATATATTTGTTCATTTAAAATAAAGTTTTTGAAAATATATTGTCGAAATTTTCTTGTCGATAGGCGGGATCCAATTTACTCTACATTACGTCACCTTCGGAGTCAATCGGAGAAATCCCGAGTCAATCCTATTGGCTGTTCTCTCATGGAGCAATCTTCGGAAATTTTCCGACTTTTCAGCAGCCAATAGGATTGACTCGGCATTTCTCCGATTGACTCCGAAGGTGACGTAATGTAGAGTAAATTGGATCCCGCCTATCGACAAGAAAATTTCGACAATATATTTTCAAAAACTTTATTTTAAATGAACAAATTTCCGTATTTCCCAATACATTTTGAAGCTAAAAACTATGTCGAAACTTAGAAAATATATCCAAGTTCATTTATATTTATTAATTTTGCAGTATTTTGTGGTAGTTTTTCAGTTTTTATCGAAGTTTGACATGTATGTATGTGATATATTATTGATAATTGGTGATAAAGTTGCCAACCTTAGGATAAATTAATATATGCTAATCACTGAGTAGCGTGTACGCGCGCGGACCACGAGTGTTGGGCTACCTATGATCTGACCAAGTATAGATTGCCAGTCGCCACATTTTGATGAAAACATCCATCTAGACAATCTAGACAGGAATCGGCCGACTAAAATCGTCGTGTGTGCGCCTAGCTTTATGAAATAAACAAGATTGGATTTTTATATCTACACAAAAAAGGATTATGCATCAAACAACGAAAAGGTATGTACATAAATCTTATAGGTGCTTTAATATAAATATATTTGCATGTGTATCTACATAAATAATATGCAAATATATGTCACATGCGTTGCCATTTGCCTTTGCATTCCGAGCCTATCGGCTTTCTACTTATAAATACTTATGTGCTAAAGCTTGTAATTGCGAATTATCTGACAATATTCTTTAAAATCTTTAAACTTTAACGTTGGACTATGTTTTATATATTTTCACTCCCTGAATGATTTCTATATTGAATATTTCCAGATTGAATTTTGATACGGCATGTCACAACACAATCTCATAATTTATAATTGTACATGTACAATACAAACAAATGGTAGCATACAGGTGAAAATATTTGAAAGTTTCTCATTTGGCTTAGGGTTGTACAAATAGTTTCGTTAATACAACTTTGAACTAAAAAAAACAGGGCTACACAATAGCCCTGAAAATCGTAATGAGCGTGATAACTCTGGATAACTCTAACATTGACATTATCATGATGCTAATAAGCTTAACATTTGCCTTATCATTTGATAATTTTAAGCAAAGCTCTCTTTATTATTGTATGAATGTGTACCAAATGGCACTGAATAGTCACAATGCATATCTATGACTTATATTTATGATGATTCCTCTGATGTAAAGCCATAATATTTAAAAAATATAGCATCTTAACATTGACCTTATCATTATGCTAATTAGCTTAACATTCACCTTATCATTTGATAATTTTGACAAAATTCCCATTATTTTTGTGTAAATGTGTACTAAATGTCACCATATAGTCACAAAACATATCGATGAGCTATATTTATGATGAATCTTCTGATGCAAAGCCAAAATATTTAAAAAATATAACATCTTAACATTGACCTTATCATTATGCTAATTAGCTTAACATTCACCTTATCATTTGATAATTTTGAGCAAAACTCTCTTTATTATTGTATAAATGTGTACCAAATGGCAATAAATAGTCACAATGCATATTGATGACTTATATTGATAATGATTCCTCTGATGTAAAGCCAAAGTATAGAAAAAATATAGCATTTTAACATTGACCTTATCATTATATTTTGTTGTATAATGTTCATTCCCCCCTGGTAAATGGTTCTTTTGCAACAAATAGACTCCTTAAGTAGATAAGTTGAAAATAATGGGAAAATAAAAGTGGCATCTTAACATTCTACTTATCATGTAGTGTGGACGCGGACGGGGACGAGGACGGGGACGGGGACGGGGACGGGGACGGGGACGGGGACGGGGACGGGGACGGGGACGGGGACGGGGACGGGGACGCGGACGCGGACGCCAAGACTATAGCAATAGCTCTCTTGCACTAAAGTGCAGGCGAGCTAACAATGAAAGAGTTTTTGAAACGGTCGGTAGAAAATTTGGGAATATAAGAATGTTTCTACGTACGCAACTCGTACGATAATGGAGGTTCCGATCTACACACCAACTCGTTCAAATTGTGTCTTGGATCGGCTAAGATCTGGTTAAAGTTTCTTACATTCAGATTCCCTTCGTGCGTTTAATGTTTCCAACCCACTTTCGATCAATCATCCTTATAATGTGCGGACGGGTAAACAATTCGAAGAGCTCGTTTTTGGACACGTTCATGCAATCTCATCACTGACTTCAATTGGGAAGAATGAACTCCTGATTTTTTTTAAATCAATATGCAGTTCTTTACATTTTTCTGGTGAAGCGGTAGTGATTTGCCTCAAACTATTCCTGAATATCCGTGACAGCATTCTGGATGTTACTTGGTGCGAATTTCAGCACGGATTCTGATATTGTGACTGTTCAATTCTCCGTCTACTAGAAGATATCAGCAGGGTCATCCCCTCATTTGTGTGTTATCCCCTCATCCGTATCCCTATCTGTGTTTTACCCCAACCCCACACATATATTATACACTTAATGTATGCTCCCGAAGGAAATAGTAAGTTTGTTTTCCCAAGAGTCTGAATGTTGAGACTCGAGGGAAAACAAAACTCATTATTTCCCGAGGTAGTGTACATTAAGTGTTTTGTTATACAGCTGATTCAATTAAGTTTGTGACAGGCAATAGGCAAATGTAAATTGTAAGCGCGAACAGTGTCATGGGTCCAGTGCATTTGACTAACTAATGCATCGACATATTTTGAATGGTTTCGTTAATGGACGCTAATTATTTTATTATGTTATCATTCGACAAAACAATGACACTATGCAAAAAACAGAGTACAAAAGACACATATGAAAAATGCGGTGATTTTGCAATTCCCAAAGGAACATGTGCATTTATCACAATAGTTTGTGGTTGCACTTTGCAGGCGAGCAAACAGTTAGATTGATAAATAGTGCACTTGGTGGATCTCCGTGTTAACGTTTCCTGTTGTTTGAAATTAGCCAACGTAGCGACGAACCGACATCTCTGATATTTGCAAGAAGAAAGCAGCCGCTTGTACAGATAGTCCACAAATATCAGTCAAAAAAATCGCTCTCCATCGCAGGTCTGCGCGCACTGTAAGCACGGGGCATTTTTACGCTACGGTTGATTAGCAGATTTCGGTTAGTCTATAATACAAAACAACGTGTATTCCACATTACCGCTATACAGTATAATAACAGCCTTAAGTTCATCCTCACACTATTCCCACGAGATGATTATATTTATACTCAACAATGCTTTTCCAATAATAACTTCATTCGTTGCATAATTATGCATAAAATGCCATCAATCCCTTCATGCCTCTTGCGCGTGGAATATACATTGGGCTATTGCCTGTCACAAACTTAATTGAATCAGCTGTATAGGTACAAAAACATACGTGTTACACAACAATTCCATTTAAAAAACTTTACCGAACCGTGAACACTTACACGAACCGTGTAATGTTCTGTTTATTATATGGACTAAATTCAGAGTGACAATAATGAGTGACAATTAATATACAGGGTGTCCCAAAAAAAAAGCAACCACTTAAATATGCAGAACATTAATACAGCTCTAAAGTCTAAAGCGCAATAGATAAGTACCTCTGGGAATTGAAAATGGCTCTTAATCCTTCATTTACAATGCTAAAAGTCATTTTAGCTGAACTATGGTGCAAACCCGAACAATATTAATATTCTTGCATATTTAAGTGGTTGCGTTTTTTTTGGGACACCCTGTATGTATATATAAAGCCGAACCAAAAGAGTACAGCCGTACAGCGCAATTAGTGTGATACTCTGATCTCCCTGCTATTTCGAAATATTTTAACATGCCGCTCAAGCAAAAGCCTACATTCAGCTGATTATGCATCTGCGATGAAAATTGAAAAGTGATTTATACAACGATGAATTATTTACCTGTCGTCTTGACAGTGATGAATTTTCAATACGCCTTCAATTAAAGCATGTCTGCGCAAACTCACTCAACTTTGCATAAATAAGATGTTTGCTAGCGAATATTTTGAATAAACTGGCTAGGGCAAATTTTACCCCAAAATATCCCAAACTCGTGTAGGATGTTTCGTAATTAGAGTCTTTTCGTAATTACCAAATTCATGCCCATGCAGTAACAAGCTGGCATTGACGGAAATTCGGCTTGGAGGAAATCGGTGCCGGTGGCTAAGTGTATTAAAATAATCAAATTCATACTAGCAGTAATCACAGATTAGTGATTTGCGTTCGGAATGTGTTGATTTCGGTTAACGATCATTAACAAAAATGTTAACATTAAACGTCACAGGCTCACAGCGTATGTGATTCAAAAGGTTACCCGCAAAATGAGTAAAAATGTCAAAATAGAGCGAGCACATGGTCTCCAGTTACTATGACGACACATCAGAACGAGGCAAATCTGACATGGCAAATCTCGATATGACACGGCTAGGAAGCGTTCTCCTTCGTCGAACGCAATGATTGGCCTATCACAAAGCCGATAACCCGACAAGTAATAAAGACATATAATATTTAAATATTTATACAGAAATCAATTTCCGCAATGCCGCCACTCAGATGGAAGACAGCTGCCAGGCACTGTGTGATTAATACGCAACAAAGCAAAAAAATGACAAGCTTGGTGGTAACTATTACCTTATATCTTTCGGTTCTTTACAATTCTGGAGCCGGAGCAGCTATTAATCAAGCTGAGCAGACAAAAGCCGAGGCTTTCCTCGAGTATTACAACGCTTCAATACTGCAATGGAATAACAAAAGGTTCACAGCTTTGTGGAACGAGGCAACCAACATAACGAAGCACAATCGGGAAGTTACGATCAACACAAGTTTAGAATTTGCAGCATTTGAGACCTCTATGCGTAAAAAGCATCGCAGTTTAATATCAGTCAACTGGAAGAGGATACGGCACGCCAGTTAAAGCTTATCACATTTTCTACTCAATTAAAGAACGCGACCGAACTCAAACAAAAGGAGGGACTAGCAGCTGAAATGAACACCATTTATAGCACAGCAAAAGTAAGTGCAACTCTAAAACAAAACACTTGCCAGCTTGGCTGGTCAAGGTAGTCACTGTTAACTTGTCATAATATCGAGTAATTGAGCTTTGAATATGTACCCTGTGTCTACATGACCGGGAAGTGTATTCAAAATGCTAATTGCCTGGCAGTCTGGAATTTTATAAGCTGAACGTAGCCTTTACGGGTATGGTATAACCATAATTTATTTTTGAAATATTCACAACGCATAACATTATAAATGAACAGCATCAGCACCGCAGCACACTATTCTTGACGTACCTCGGCTCCCCTGGACGTATATATAGTCCAAATTTCGATTTGTGTCTGTTCTTCTGTCTATCACAGATTTCCGGGGGGGGGTTATGGGATGTGGGGGAGCGCTGCATTTTTAATATTTCACCCATATGTTGATAGAAATCGGAAGAAAATTTTTTAAATAGGCCTCTCCAAACGGCTGACTTACATCAAAGTATTAAGTAATGAACATTTTTGCGTTCAATAGGGCTGTTTATTCGAGCGAAAATAAGCCGTTTATTTCGA